TCAGTTGCAGTAAAATCAGAGTTCATTGCTGGGATAAGCTACATGCAACTAAGGAATAATCAAAATCATAGTTAACCCCAAACCCTTAAAATACCTAATAAATGGTGTGTGAACATTTTGAAAAGAAATTACTGTTTCCTTACTTTCCCCTCCAATCATGAGAGTCATTTCCCCCCCTTTGCTTATTCTGGCAGCTATTCAAGACCAACTTTCATTGCTATTCACTCTCTTTATTATATCTGCCACATGTTTGAATAGTCATAGTTCTGTGCTCAGCTTTGTAATTAGATGGAGTGATGAAAATAACTTTTGCTTGAGTCCAATTTTCTCTGTATAAAAATAACTCTTTGAATCTTCTGATGTAATAAATTATAGAAAACTTTAGGTAGGATTGGGTCTAAAATTGGAGTCTGATTAGGGCCAGATGCTTCTAAATGGTATCAGAACCATCTTTCCCATTGTATTCATTCATTGTAGACTCAGATGCTATGTCATAATTAATCTCATTGGTTCTGCAAATTTGAAGATTTATGGTGGATGACCAGTAGGACATAGTTATCATCTTACACATGAATTTCTGTCCTATAATTGCTCTGCATACAGAGTAGATAATTTATAAAATTGAGGATTGGGGAATCAAATTCTCAAGCTTCTTTCAGGCCTGCTGTTTATTTACCTCTGTTTCTGTATATAGATATATAACACAATATATTCCAATGAAATTTTGAATTTGGGTCTTTAGCTTTTAAAAATCTCACATTTTCTAAAATTGTGTCAGGAGAGAAGATTCTTGTCTCCTCGTTCAGCTTACTAAAGGCATTACATGGTATTGGAATTAATATCTGAATGCATACTATGAAACTCTAACTTGATCCAACAATAACAATACTAGTAAATAATTTACATCTTCCTAGCACTGTAAATTACAAAGTAAATTTGGAATAGCAAACTGAAATCACTATAAGGCTACTCAGGTGACCTAAATGGGTGAAAATGGGTGAGGATGTGGAAAACGAGACAAAATGTGCATGAGAATTTATACACTGTAATATCTGATGTAATTCAGCAATATACTAGATAGTGCTTTTTAAAAATTTTCTCATCCAAATCCAAAGCTACGATATCTGAATGAGTACCAAACCTCTCAATGGCTGGAAGATTATCCATAAAAGTCCCTGGGAAGAGAGGAATGACCCCAAAGAGTCAAGTTGCCTTTATTCCCTACAACTCCCTCTGTGTTTCAGGGACAACAGGGCTCCTGGGCCAGCCTTCATTAGGAAAGTGCAAAAGAACTGGAACATTTCTTTGCTGAAGCACAAAGGCCCTTTGCCTCTTTTGTTGGCTTAGAAGCTTCAATCAGTTTCAGAGTTTCAAAGGTTCAAACACTGGAGTTCCAACTGGGCTAGGATTGAGTAGTGTCCAGGGCACTGAGTAGGAAAGTGAATGTCTCTGCTCACTTAGTAACCCAAAGTTGGTGAAACCTTCCTATGAAGGTCAAAACATGATGTTTTATGATTTGAGCCATCAGAAGAGCAGCAGAGAACAGGGTGGTGAGATATCACTTTACCCTTCACTTTCAACAACTATTTATTACTTGGCAACCTTTGAAATAACATAAACAACTTTTCTTAAGGACTTACTAAAACCCATTCTCTAGCATCATACATTCAGAGCAGGCAGCTTCCTTTGAAAGTTAAAAAAAAGAGTCAGGCTGCCCTAGCTGATAGTTAGAGAGCCAGTGATGGACAGACATATAAAAGCCAAGTTAAGTGAAAGGGAAAGAGAAATGAACCATTAGAAAGGGGCATGGCAACTCAGAAGAAAAGTCATAGAGGAAGGACTGGGGAAAGCAAGCACCATTGTTTGTTACCCTCAGCTCTTAGCCAAGTCAGGGAGAAGACGGAAGACGATCAGCATACAGAGAACTCACTTATTGTCAGTTTTTGTTACACTCCATTATGGTTAAGAGACCAGATAAACTTTTATTCTCTCTTTCATATGAAGAGGAGGGCAATTATTTATAAAGGACAGTTACAAAGAGGTGCCTTAGTGCCAGATATAATTAATTAACATCCCCTGGCAGACTCCAATTACCCAATCCCCACTTATATAAATTAAAATACTGAATCATTCTGTTATTTTTGTTAATCAATTCTACAAATATCTATTATCTATCTACTGTGGGCTAGCCACTGCACAAGGCACCAGTGATATAAAGATAAATGAAATGTTAACTTTGTACCCAAGTAGACCATAGTCTAGTGGATGAGACAAAACACTATACCAGTAATGGCAGTATGGGAAAGTGGAAAGAGCCTTCATACCCAGATAGAAAAGGATTTGAATCTGTACTCTGCCACCTGTTAGCTAACCTAGCTAGCCAAACCTCAGTTTTCTCACTTGTAAAGTGGACATACTTTATATAGAATGTAGGACAATTTTCTGAACTAGGAATACCATTTGTCAAATAAAGTAGGTATTCAATAAATGGGCATTAGTTTATACTTGATACCTTATGTTTGTCCTTCTAGATTCACTCTACTTCTCTCAATGCTGTTCTATACCTAGGAGCTAGGAGGCTGACCTTTATAGATTATATATATGGTGAATTTCATCAGTCTCCATTTACCCTTTGGCTTCCTGTTGGATTCAGTAAATTGAAATCATTGGCAGTAGATGGCAGGACATGAGGAATGTGAGGCTGGGAATGTATTTCCCAGGCTCCTTCATTGCAGAGTTGCTGTGGATCTTTCTCCAAAGGGCCACAGCCTTCATAAGGCTCAGGCACTCTCTCTGGCTTGTATTAACTACTTCTTCTCCTTTCTTCATCAAGCTTAGAGTGGAAACACTTTCTGATGCTACTAGCACCAGGGTGGTACTGAACTATCAATTGTTGGTTCCCCTAGACCCCGACTATTCCTTTGTTTTATTAAAGTCTTCTCAAATTGCCCAGTTGGACTATGCTGTCTGTTTCCTGCTGAGACCCTGATAGATACAAGTGTCATTATTAGTATACATAACAATGTACTATGAAAATAAAGGATAAACAAATAAAACCGCCCTGGAGGATATCAGGAACAGTTCTAGGGGGAGATAGTATCTAAACGACTGTCTGATGATGAATAGGAACAAACAATGTGAAAAAAGCTGGAAGAGAACATCCTAGGCAGAGGAATACGATATGTAAAGGTTCAGAGAAAAAAAAAAAAAAAAAAAAAAAAAAACGAAAAAAAACCCCACTACATTGTGGGGGAATTTCAAGCTTAGCTATAGCATCGAATAAGAGATGGAAGGCTGACAGATGAAGCTGAAGAAGTAAATTGAACCAAGATCACAAAAGACCATGCATGACTTTTTCCTCTAGGCAGTGAGATATTATTGAAGGATTTTAACCCAGGTTATAACATCACACTGCATTTTAGAAAATGATACAGAGATAAGATTAGAAAGGGGAAAGACTGGAGACAGAAATACCAATAAGCAATTTTGTTAAAAAAAAATAAGGTAGCCAAATGGGGTACCTTCTTCCCTTTTTCCCTAAACAATTGATTGTTAAACATGGGTTAAGACCACATTTAAAAGGGAAGAGTCCCTTCCCTCAGTTGCTGCCAAGATGCTCGGTCTTTCTGAAAAAAGCTAAGGCCACATTTGGGTGAGGCCCTCAACCCCCAATATGGTGAAAGTGAGACTGGAGCTGCCATCTATGGTGCCACTTCATCTGGCAAGTAGCACTGTGGGTTACCCAAGCTTGCCTGCATCTACTGGGCCCTCATTTTGCGGGACAATGAGGTGACTGTCACGAAGGATAAATTCAGTGCCTTCATTAAAGCAGCTGCTGTAACTGTTGAGCCCTTTTGGCCTGGCCTGTTTGCAAAAGCCCTGGCCAGTGTCAACATCAGCAGCCTCCGTTGCAATGGAAGGGCTGGTAGACCACTCCAGCAGCCTATGTTGCACAAGCAGGAGATCCTGCCTCTTTCACCACTGCTGCCCCAGTTGAGGAGAGGGAAGTGGAAGCAAAGAAAGGAGAATCTGAGGAGTCTGATGAGGACATAGGCTTTGGTCTTTTTAACTAAACTTGTTTTATAACATGTTCAAGAAATAGCTGAACTCTTAATAAATAAACAAAATTTTATAAATACATAAAAGAAGAATACCTCTGATAATGGTGGTGGAATTTGTTTTTTGACTTGTGTAAACAACAACACACCACCACCAAGAAAAACCTGGCCAAGAACTAACAAGCAAACTAGAACTGCAGGGCAAATTTCAGGAGACGAACGGAAGGCAAGTTAGAAGGATCTGTGGGATGCCCATGAGGAGCCAAGTGAAGATGGATAAGCACATAGGCACTGAGAGGAGAATCTAAAATATCATGAAGTAGAATGGAGGTTGCTAATTGGTAATTAAAAAATCGGGGTAGTCTCTAGACCAAGAATCAGAAACCAGGAGCATCACAACAACAGAAGATTATTCAAACATTAAGATGAGGGTGAGAGATGCTGTATCAAGGCAAAACCAGAGCCAGAAAGCTCTCAAAATGGTAACTTGGCTTCTTGCTAGTTTTTATAAAGGAAGGCTTCCATTTCCTTCCTGGGGAATTACACTGGAATATGTTGCCACCCTCACCATCAAGGTATCTTCTAAAGAGTAAGAAAGGTCAGCATTTAAAGAAACATCCATGGTATAGGGCAGATGAGAGATGAAGTTGTGACATGGGCAACTGCTGGCCAGGTGCAGTCTTTGAGCTCATACTCCCATAGTTCAAAAAGTCTTGTGGCCAGTTGTCCAAAGACACGCCAATGGGGAACTCTGTTTCCTTCCATTATGGTGGGCAGGAATGGCTGCATTGTTTCTGGAGCCCAGTGCGAAATGCAATGGTAAGAAAGTGTTAAGTATTTTAAGAGGGCAACAGCAGAACTATACACAAAGCATATGCCCAGTGATTGAATCACTTTGGTAATGATGAAAATTGTTCTAACATATTACCTTCTTCTCTTCAGTGCAGATCCTTTCTTGTGTTATTCACCACTTTGGAAGACACAGAGATATTGACTGGCTGGTGACCATAGATCTGGTAAGTGCAGACTTTATGGAATCAGAAAACTTAAGACTGAAAGAAACATGATTTCAGTGACATCTGGCTAATGCAGCATCATAGCAAATGGCAAAAACTGTGAGAACGCGACTGTTTCCAAGCACGATTAGTTGAATGGGCTAAATAATGTAACAATGCAAAATTTTCAGGGATGCAGAACATAGAAGCTTCTTTCTTGCCCACATGATAGTCCAGTGAAGGCCAGGTGGATTTAGTTCCACATAGAGACTGAAGGCTCTATAGTCTTGTCTATCCACTTTCCTCTAGGGCCCTAAAATCAACTCCATTTAGTTGTTGGATGGGGAAAGAGAATAATAATACAGTTTAGGAGGTCTTCATTGTCCAACACTGAAAGTAGTACCTATCAACTAGACTCACTTTTCTTTGGTTTGAACTAATTGTGTGACCAACCACATCTATCCACCAAGGAGACTGGAAAACGTGGTTTTATGCCTGCAAGAAAATTAATGCAGTTATTGATGGACACCAGTTACTGATGAACACCAACAGTCTCGGCTGCCTGAAGGCTATTAGTCGTAGCTCCGGTCCATGTGAATTCTGTTTAAGAAAATTATTTCCTTCCTTCTTTCCTATGTTAACGGATTTTTGTCATAAACTTGCAATATGCAGGCCTGTGCTAAATGCATGGGATTATAATGATGATAATACACAGAGCTTATATTCATAGAAAACTAGTCACAAACAGAAAAATGCCAAAAAGAGGGCAATATATCTGCTACTTGCTTTAGATGGTGTTGCCTCTGCACTGATAATGGCTCTGGCTTCTCAGATTGGAGCTCCTTAAAACAATGCTAGATTCTCAGTATCTATTCGTTGGGAGAGTTGGTCCCTTCAAGCAGTGACGTTTTAAGATTTTTATGTTCCTGAAACTAAGAAGAGCCAGGAAATCAGCTAAGAAGGCTAGGCAGGCATCAGGAATAATGTGAATGAGGGTTAGCAACAGCAGACTGGAATTTAGGGGTAAAATATAGCAGAATAGAGAGCCCACTGGGTTAGTAACTTGAGGGCTATTTTCTGACTTAAATAAATATGACTTTATTATGGTTAAGCAGTTAAGTGGATCCTTACAGTAGCCGGAGCACAGTGCCTGTACTCTCAAATTTGAAGAAGTCCTCAAACTTTGGAGTACTTAAGAATGATACCAGGAACTTTTAAAAAATTCATATTTCCTGGCCCAAAATTCCATATATGAAGGGCAGAAATCTGAATATATATTTTCAGCAAGTGCTTTTAGATGATTCTGTCTCAGAAACCTTGAGATTGAGATTACATGTCCCGAACAGCTACTGACTGTGGTGAAGAAGCTCAGTGGAGTCAGACTTCCCTGTCTTTTTCTCTCCTGTAAGGTGTCATGTGGTAGATCAGGGGTGATCAGCATCCTTCTGTCTCAGTTTTTGAAAGTGTCTTAGTGCTATGGCTTGCCACTCCTACTCCCATTCCTATCACCTTTTTAGTGTTGCCAGCATTTACAGAGAAGTTATGAGAAGAAGGGAGATTGCAATAAAACTTTCTGCTGGATCTTGGTTTTGGCACACATTTGGACAAAAATTAAGAAGACAAATGAGCCTATAAGACAGCTGGTTCTCAACATCTGGCTAACCATGTGGGCAACACATCTGGATTCAAGGCTCTTTATTCCCCTGTTTGAGTTGGAAAGTTTAGGGTCAGAGAAGCTGTGTTTTTCTCCCTTTAGATAGTTTACCAAAGTAATATCCTCCTTGGGTTGACTCAGAGCCACCCCAGGGGATGGATAATTAGGTCCATTCCCACAAACCACAGACTCAGGCCACCCAGAACTTCAGAAACTGCTGAGAAGACCCTGCTTATCACCACCAAGACATGGTATAGCTGTCCTGCCTCCTACACCTTCTCAGACTACATTTAAAATTTTTTTAAAAAATATTTTGCCTTACAAGGACTGCCCTAGACCCTTACTCTACCCCAATTTAATCTGGAAACAGATGGTAATAGTGGGAGCCAGGATATTCCTACAAAACCATCAGATCCACAATATAGTCAAGAACAACATTTAGGACCTCAGACCCCACCTGGTAGTCCTGTCACACCACATCTGCTTGCTTTCGAAATTCTCTTTGCTTCAATTTCAAAATGTGAAGCAGCTGCTGTGGTAGAACCCTAAGTGAATAAGTCTACATACACAAGGAAGTGATACTTTATAAGCAGTGGATTCTGAAATTATAACTGGAATACCCTTTCTTGCTACACCTATATCTCTGCAAGAGAAAATGTTTAAGTGAGGTTTTAGCTTTAATTAAAGATTGCTAACTTTCCTTTTGATTGTGGCAGAATCTACAGTTAATTGAGGTCTCTGATGACTAACAGGGAAGAACATCCTATTAAGTTGTGGTATCTCTGGGTTTTGAAACATAAAAGTTGATCTGGCTGTAATCCAATTGCAAGAAAGAGAAAATTAGCCAGAAAGAGTATCTTAAATGAGGGACAAACCCTAGCATATTATTTTATTCCTTTGTTGAGAAATTCATTGTACCCCACTCACAACTCACATTAATCTATGTGGAATTTCTGCCAAGTAGGATGGGTACCCAACTACCTAAGGACTGCTCCAGAGGCAAAGCAAGTTAAATCTTCAAGTTCTCATATTATCTTGTTTATGAGGAAGACAGTCAAGAATTTGTGGGAGACTCCTATTTGTGAGCCTTTTCTGACTTCCATACACAGCTCAGGAAGTAATACTACATAAATTCTAGTTATTCACAAAGCAGCAGAGATAGGAGCAGCTCCATGTGTTGTACCTACAATGATAATCAGAGAATAGTCATGGTTAAAGGAATATTCTTGCAAGCCCTTTAGCTCTCTTAAAGATAGGGTCCTGCCTGCCACTGAGGCTTGAAGAGGGTTCAGATAGTGAGCAACTAGTTACCGAGTGCACATTCTGTGTGTGTGTGTGTGTGTGTGTGTGTGTGTGTGTGTGTGTGTGTGTGTGTATATTTATATATGAAGAAATAACTTTGGGCACTTTTTCAGGCCTCTGTTCCTTAATGTTTAAAATGAAAACAATAAAACAATCTCCTAAGTTATATATGTGTGCGTGTGTGTGTGTGTGTGTGTGTGTGTATATACATATATATAGAGAGAGAGAAAGAGAGACAACGAGTAATTGAGTATGAGTATGCATTCAGTAACTGGAAATTGTAGAGTAAAGGGAGGATGGACAAAAGAAAGAGGAATGGGATACCCTGATGTTTAGTAGACCTAAATTACAATCTTGTAAAGAAGAGCTCTGAGTCTGTTAGTTCATTCATCCATTTAAACATTATTTATTTAGTGTGTACTATGTACTAAGTACTGTGCCAATAATTGAGACTATAACAGTAAGCAAGACTTCTTTGTGGAGCATCATGGGTATCATAATGTAGTGTTAATTGCTATTATTGGTGCTATAGGAGCCCATAGCATGGGAAGCAACTACAAATTTCAAAGCTCAGGGAGGTCTTTCAGGAAGAAATAACTTTGATAAGGTGCTTTTTCAGGCCTCTGTTCCTTAATGTTTAAAATGAAAACAATAAATCACCTCCTAAGTTTGGTATAAAAATTAAATGAGATATATGAAAAGTTATTAGTATATTTGCTGGATACAGTAAGCTCTGCAAAGATATAGTCAATACTATTATTTTTGTCTTAATGTTACTCAAACTATCATTACTAGTATACTGTAACTAGTATTGTTATTGCTCTTACAATTATTTGGGATTTGAAGGGCTGGTAGAAAAGAGCCAGGGGAAGGATGGAGACCCTGACAGACAGAGTAACAACGTGTTTGAGTGGCTACAGGCAAGAGACATAATAGCCTGGGTGACTGGACGTTTACTATGTATACAGTATAAAAGAGGAGTGGCAAGAGACCGGATAGAGACATAAACAATATTGTAATCATGAAGAATTTTATAAACCAAATTGAAAGAGTTAAGATTCTACCTCAAAAGCTACAAAAGGATATTACATGCAGTAATGTGATCACACACACAGACTTACAAGCTTATACCACACTTACATCTATAATTTTCAAGTGATCATGTCATAATACAGCTAGGTTTTGTAGAAGAGATAATCCATGATTTTTATTTTTAATTTTGAGAAAACTGAGTCTAACGGGAGTAACCAGATATAACCAGGATAGCAGAAGTAATTACTTCATATCTTTTGAATGCAAATGCCTTGCTATTTCCTATCACACCACACTGCTCTCCGTACCATCCTTTCCATTATTAACATCCTGCTGTTGGCCAAACTGGAAAACTTAGTTTCCCAACTAAACTGTTTACCCTTAAAAGTATGTGGGATACTGTTGAATTGTCTCTAAAAACCAGACTTAAACTTCACACAGAATATTACAGTGTGTTATTGGGAATCCAGTGGTTTCAGCTTTCAAGCACTGTAGAATTCTTCACAAGTAGATTGATCAGGGATAAAATTTTACTGCAAACTGCCCTCCAACCCCCACTCTGATTCTTCTATAGATAAAATTAAGTATCAAATTAACACAAAGACCAGAGGGAAAATGGTCCCGGAGGAGCACCCTACAGATTTCAGAAGAAAAATCATGTTGGAGAATGGATTTTCATTGATGTTGATTCTAGGTGGTTTTAGGGTTTGATTATTCGTAATTTTTGCTAGGCCACAGAGCCAAATTCCTTGCAGGTCTCAGATGCCTTCCTCAATCACTGACTGTAAATTTGATGTAAATCATCAGACTGTAAATTTGATGCCTTCTGCTCCCAACAACCTGCCCTTCCCTCACGAACTGTTTCAGGGGTTACAATCCTGATTTTCCATGTGCTAACAACTTTGAACGTACTGCCAAAATGCATCTATATTAGATATATCTCAATAGAAATGCCTCTATTGAACTACAATTTAATATTATATGTTTTTAAATTGTGTGTTCATAAGATATCTTAACCTGGAATTCCCCAAAA